TTTTTTCAACTAGGGGTGACTACGCCTCGACTACTTTACGTTGCTTTCAACTGACTACTTTTACATGATGATGTCGCAAAAAAACAGTTTGTTTTCAGCTAACTACAAACCGGTTATTAATACATTCACTTGTAGTGTGCCAATTAATAGAATGTTTTTGGTACTCTCTGCTTTTATACTTATTTTAGGATAACTATTACCTGCATGATAACTATCTAGTTAGCATATATTAAGAGCCTAAAGAAGTGCTATTAACATACATATATAATATCAACCAATCAATAATCAATAAAAAAAACACAATGACAATATATGTCGAGCCCTAACCGCCAAAATAACGTAAGGGACATTTTTTTCAAAATTTTCTTTTTGATGCAGAAATATTCTTAGAGCATCTGGTACATTTCTGCATCAAAAAGATAATTTTGAAAAAAATGTCGCTTACGTTATTTTGGCGGTTAGAGCTCGATGTACAATGGGGTATAGGCGTTGCGCTGGGTATATAGTTACAGTTGCAGGGCCATACTCAATCCCGACTCTTGCGTCCTCGTTCGCGCACTCTGGGCAACGTGAGCAACCCATGTGCGAGATGCGGTAACCAACCCGAGTGGAGCCTTGGGTCACGGCAGAAAGAGAGGGAGCTTCGGTGGGGCCACTCCGAATTATTCGGTTTAGGGGCTCACCGAAGTCTGCAGCGTCTGTTCACCAGTAGGTGCGGCTGCAAGCGGGTGTCTGTCCTGGAGCCGCTTTCGTTAGCACTTAAGGTAAGACCGCACTAAGCGACGCGACACTGCAGCGGCACTACGCGACACGGCGCGACACTTTTTGGTATATCGCACTGAAACTGCAGCGGCGCGACACTTCGCTGCAAATTTTTTAAATTTATTTGTGTCAAAACCTTCAAACAAGATGGATGCCAGTAACGCTGATGTAATGTTAATGCCTTTTATTTTTATTTTCCTTGGTGAATTCTTCTCAAATATTATGTTTCTTTACATACAATTTTCTTCTTGAATGAAATGCATGTGAATATTCACTCACAATTGGAAATCCAATTACTTCAAGTTGAAAATATAGTACGAAATGTTATGTCGTTCCGCTAGGTATACCGCACTATGCGGAACCGGAACTGCGCGACACCATGCGGCGCGACATTTTTGCCTAGTTGGTCACCTTTGCCGCGCAGCGTCGCGTCGCGTAGCCCCGCTGCAGCGTAGTGCGGTATGCTCAATAAGAATACAAGCAAAGAATATTTTGCTGCGCTGTGTAGTGTCGTGTCGCGTCGCCTAGTGCGGTCGTATCTTAAAAGGAGTTGCCTATATGCCGCGATGTCTGAGTTTGGCATACTCTCGAAACTGATGCGGCTGTGTGACGTTGAGCAATACCACCAGCTCCGTCGGAATTGGGAAAGACCTCTCCGAGCCGTTTTCTACCAAACGGGGTTTCAGACAGGGCGACCCCCTTTCATGTGATTTCTTTAATCTGATGTAGGAGAAGATAATAAGAGCTGCAGAACTGAACCGCTCGGGAACAATATCGACATCATCGGTATCAAAAACCGCGAAGTCTGTTCTGCCTTTTCCAAGTTGGATAGGGAAGCAAAGTGAATGGGTCTGGTGGTAAACGAGGACAAGATGAAGTATCTCCTGTCATCAAACAAACAGTCAGCACATTCGCGCCTTGGCACCCACGTCATTGTTGACAGTTACAATTTCGAGAAAGTAGAGAATTTGTTTACTTGGGAACTAGCATTAACACCGATAATAATGTCAGCTTGGAAATCCAACGCAGAATCACTCTTGCCAACAAGTGCTACTTTGGACTGAGTAGGCAATTCAGGAGTAAAGTCCTCTCTCGACGTACGAAAACCACACTCTATAAGTCACTTATCATACCCTTGCTGGTATATGGCGCAGAAGCATGGACAATGACAACATCCGATGAGGTGGCTCTTGGAGTATTCGAGAGAAAGATTTTGTGGAAGATTTACGGGCCTTTACGCGTTGGCGACGGCGGATACCGCAGACGATGGAATGATGAGCTATATGAGCTTTAAAACGTATTTGCGAAACCATAGGCCAAATACAGTAAAATTGCATTTCCAGTTTTTCACTCTGACGTCAGTAATTCAAAAATGATTTAAAAAATTTAAAGAAATGTGCTTAGAGAAGAAGTATGGGTATCAAATTAAAGAGGAAATCCTGTAGAATTTAAACAGATACATGTTTTTCGTGCAGAAGGACTGGTAAGTATTGAAAATGTCCTTTTAAAATTGTATCCTTGAAATTTCGCAATATTTGTTTTTGAAAAAAATTATATGTTAAGGACCTGTATAAACTCGATAACATCCTCGAATTTCGTCCTTCTAACTTTATCAGCTTAAAAAATTACCTATTTGTCCTTGTGAATCCAAAAAATTTTTAATTTTTCTTTAATTCTAAAGAAATTTCCTCTTGCCTCTTCCTCTTGTACCAAATGTACGTAAATTTTTATTCTACTTGGCATTGAACTTTTTAAATGATTTTTGGAAGTAATGATATCTTTGAAATTATTAAGCCCTTTTAAATAAATTCTGATGTCAGGGAGAAAAAATAAAAACGCCATTTTAATTAAAAAAGTACGTTTCAAACCCATTTATTTATTTATTTATTTAATGGTAGGAAAGCTTCTCAAACAATATAAAAGCAATTTTTCAATTTAAGTTGTTGAAAAGTAATGATTATCTAAATCCCGGTACTAATCCCGGGATCCCGAGATTGTGATAGGGACCACCCAAAAATCCCGGGATCGGAAAAAGCTGAAAAATTAACTTCCCTAGTACGTACATATGTAAATAGAATTATGATTATAAAATTTAGTATGTATAACTCAACATAACATACCTGCCTATATCGGCACAACCTCTTCCATTAGAAACCACGGCTCCAACGATTTGCTTGTCGCTTTTTAAGCCGAATACCAATCCAAGCACGATGCCAACCACGACCAGTACAGCTAGCACAGTCCATATAAATGCCTTTTTGTTGAAAACTATTCTGTAAAACAATCGGGATAAAAAACAATGTTTTATAAAAGCAATATTTTTTGAAGCACACAAAAGTGTACCCAGCCAGCCTAATGCAAAGCGCTCCGAATGAGCAGTGAAAGGGGACAAAATTTTTTTTTCTTAATTTATGCTTTTTTTGATGTATCTAGTCCAATGCCCGCCAATCACTTTCCTGGGAATCGAACTATATTTGTATACGTACACGTTTACAATCCGAACGTCAACCAGGGTTGCCTACAAGCTTCTTTTTTAATTAATTTGACAATTAATTGACAATTTATTTCAAAAGCTAAATATCTCATTTGTAAAAATTCACAGTTTATAATCCTTACAGTAACTTTAATAATAAACGTATGTAAATTTGGTCAAGCTGGTGCGCGGCTATTTAGTTAATTTGTGTAGTCATGTGTCCAAAACACATCTCCTATTATTTTCGGGAGTTGTCCCGTGTACAAGGCACATTCCTAATTCGATTTGACAGTTCATCGTCGTGTTTTCCATAATTTTTTCCCTCTGTCTCTTTGCCTCGATTTTTTCTATTCTGTCTTGCTTTGACAGCTGAGTTCGAGAAATTTCCCATACGAATTTGGGACGGCAACGATTTGACTAAAGAAAATAATAATATAATAAAAAAAACTACAAATTTTTTCAAAAATTGTTTGCCTTAAAATGCTCAATATTGCTCCAAAGAACCTATATCCCGAAAATGAAGGTTATATCTGCAAATCATAAGTTGCTAGAGCACTTTGAAGGCTGAAAATTGACCCCAAAATAAGCCAATATTTACCGTTGTTTCTACGGCAGAAACCGAATTGATTACTTACAAAAATGAATTTGTCCATAGGTTTGGAGTTTTATCTTTGAAATGCCATTGTTAAATAAATAATAAAGAATACTAGATGTCTTCCTTTTTTTACTACACCCCATGTCTAAATTATAAGCGCACTACATATTGACAAGCTTTGGCAATTTATTTGGTTATTCTTTAACAAAGCCTTTGCAGTGTTCAACATTGTCCAATATTTAAAAAGACATCCAACAAACTATCGTTCACATTTCAAACTGCTCAATTAGGTTTCTTAGAAAGATTTTGAGTATGCAGTTTTGTGGCACATTAAACTGTAGTGTAAAAATGTGCTAGTTTGAAGTAGCTAGCAGTTATCGTTTATTCTTGAAATTTTTTTTGCGGTATTACTCATATAAAAAATTTCCAAGACATCTAAGGTGTGATTGACAACTCCATGGGGCTCTCTTTTCAATTTGACTTAATAGGATGGTTTTTATGAGAGCAATGTCAAATTCGATCACACTTTGTTGAATACATTTTGGATGCCCTTACCATTTTGACACGGGGTGTGATTTTCTTCGTATTCGAACTGAAGCTTCATATCAGTCAGAAAGAAAACATAATAAGGCAATCAGTTAATTAGTAAAATTGATAATTGAGCGGAAGTAAACGCTGATGCTTTATATTTCTTATAATTAGTTACATGCTACTAAAACGTTTAGGGCGCGAAAATAAAGATAAATAACCCGAAATTAATTAAGTACTATATCGGCTGGAAAAACTAGTTTCCATTTGGGGATATTTTATTACAATAATGTGGTTCAATGAAATTATGATACTTAGTAACTATGTAGCAAGTAACAAAAACTAAATTACTTGCTTCTGTACTATTATACTAGGTTAACATATATGTAAGTAGGTTCTCCTCATTTTCGAGCTTAACTCCCTAATCTGTAATTAGAAAGAGATTAGCCATACAAAATTCGTCCGTCGTTAATCTGTACTTATAGAATAATCTCAGACTAAACGGATAACTTTTCGGAGTCCAACCTAGTTTTATCGATTATTTTTGGGAAGAGGAGGATAAAGGCCAATGTAAAAGTAAAGAAAATGGATGCTAGCGAGGAAAAGAGGTTTGCAAAGGTATTTTAAATAAAATATTAAGTTAAAATATATCTAAATTGCTTAATATAGCAGAAAAAAAGTGATCACGGTGGCACAGAGAAGAAACATAACCTTTCCTTGAGATGTGAGAATAGCAAGCACAAAAAATTGTACGACTAATAATCTGAGATTTGCCTGTGTAAACAGGGTGATTAAAAAACGAACTTTGATTGAGATTATATTTTTATGTAAACATACTTTAACGATTATCGAAAAAATAAAAATCATAAAATAACGATTGATTGGAAAAGTAGAAATCCAATTTTAACGGTTAAATTATAAGTTTTATTATGAAGATCATAATCGTTACGGTCCCTGATTAAATTAAATATGTATGAATATGGGCAACAAAATTCAGTGTTCATTCATTGGGTTTTACATATGTATGTAGATACTTCCCAACAAACACCAAAAAAATATTTCTCCAACCAAGGAGAAATTCATAGTTCTCCAGTTGATATCCAACAGAGTTCTCCAACTTATCTCTAACTTTGGACTGGAAGTTGAGATGAACTTTTGTAAATCTACATGGCACGCGAAGTGAATCAAGACGTAGACTTACTGTTGGACTGTAGACGGACGAATAAAAATTTTACTGTGATACGATATTGATTAACTACATATTATAAAAGGGGTAAAAAAATAAAAAATAAAATTTTAAATTTATTTATTTCTTTTCAATCAAAAAGGTATAGATTATTTTACTATTTTAATTTCGGTATTTCAATATATTTGAGACCAGCTGGAGAATAACAATGGAGTTCAAGTTGAGAACTAGCTTTTGCTCTACTTGAGAAACAGTCCTTTTTTTCATACAAAGAAAAATGCCCTTTTTATTGAGAACGCTATTATCCTTCACTTGAGGTACTCTTGAGAAACAACGTTGGACATTTGAGAAATACCTTAGTTCCCAACTTAGTCTCAAGTTGAGGTCAAACTCAAATGTTTGTTGGGCTACTACTAGTCACTAGCCTCCCACTTGACAAATTTATTCGGTGCTTGTAAGCGGGAATTGCTTATAAACGCGGGACTTATAAAGGATCAATACTGTACAACGTTTTTTACGATGTTCGATTAAAACTTTTTATAAACAATGAAAATAGCTAGATGCACGTTTTAAGATAAGCTAAGTGGAATAAGTATCTTTATTTTATTATGAGTGGCAATGAATCAAATTCGTCGTGTAAATTATTGTACAACTATGTGTATTAGGGGGGTCCAAAAAAAAGTAAAAGCGGAATTTCAATGCTCTCAGCCCCTGGGATTGATCTATATTGAAAAAAGGTATAAGCCAATTTTTTTTATCTTGAAATCAAAAATATTTAGAGGTCGCTCAAAGCGCTCAAAGTTTTTCGTGTATTTTATATGGGGGAAAAACAACGTTTCGTAGAAATGCTATAGAATTCTTGAAAATCAATATTTATCGACCGGAAAACTCTGGTAAACTTCAGGGAAATTTCAGTAATAATACCCAATTGTTTATTTAACCATATTTTAATACTAACGATTTTTTATTGGACCCCGCATCGGGGTTTTTGGGGGTTTTTGGCGGACCTATATATTATAGTTACTATGAAAAAAATGAGTATATTATTGGGAATATTATGCAGAGAAACAGAGTTTTCCGATCGAGAAGTATTAGTTTTTAGGAGTTCTATACCATTTTAGCGAAAAGTTGTTTCTTCCCCATATAAAAGACATGGAAAACTTTGACCGCTTAGAGTGACCTCTAAATATTTTGATTTTAAAAAAAATATGGGGTAGTTAAAGTCCGACTTCGCTTTTTCACATGCATTTTTGGACCACCCTAATGCGCATACACTCGCTAGGCAATAATTACCCAAGTACTGCCGTATTATCAGCATCTGTAGGTGTTAATGGGCAATTGTAAATTTCAAAATATACTCGTACAATTGAAAATTTAATCATAGTCAATATTGACGCACGTAACATTATATGACGTTGTCAATACATATACAAATTTCTAACGGGTATGCATGTACTATATGTATGTATGTACGTATGTGAGTTTGTATCTGCATACATATGCATTCACACAAATAAGTAAGTTAATTTATTTTTACCACTTTTTTGTAAGTCAAAAGGGTTCATGAACAATTAATGAGATTGCAAATATTTAATCAACAATTTATCCGATTCTTGAAAGGCTTTCATATAAATGTTTTTATTAAGATTTTATATTAATTATTTATTATTTTTTATAAGGCAAAAGGGTTCATGAACAATTAATGAGATTGCAAATATTTAATCAACAATTTATCCGATGCTTGAAAGGCTTTCATATAAATGTTTTTATTAAGAATTTATATTGCTTGACTTCACTTACAGGCGCACTTACATTCGTTTCAGTCGTAATATTGACACCCTCAAGCAAACATACGGAAGTCAGGTACATACGTTCCATTTTAAGTATCGACTCGAATCCTGTACTTTGCTTTAGTTTAAAAGATTTTCTTTATGACCAACTTTTAAATTTTCCACGAATAACTTCATAAAATGTTAGTTTTTGCTACATATGTACACATTAGACTGATAAAAAAAAATTGAATAACTTTTCAATACATCCGGGGAGATGTCAAAAGATGCGTGTCAAAAGCGCAACCCTTCTATTTTCCATATAAATTACTTAGAAAAGAATTGTTTTCAGCTTTGGAATTTGTTTTCTCGGCTATGAATTATGGAAAAAAACGCCTTGCATCATTTTTTGATAACTTACTGCTTGAACGATTATTCAAACTTAAATTTAAATTTATGTCATTATTACAGTTTCTTCTCCTATTTTAGATAAAATAATTAATATTTTCATTAAACATATACCGCAAAATTTTTTACAAAAATCCTGCGTATTGTGTTACCCTGATGAAATAGTACATATATTTAAAGAAAATAAATAAGGTTTTGGTGAGTTATACAAAAGTTCCAAGCTGGCTAATTTCGTTAAATTAAATGAAAATTATAATTAAGTGAAAATCGACGCACAATGTACATTCATAGAGGAAAGAAAGCTAGGCAGGCAT